CCAAAATCCTCAAAATGTCCTATGATGTCACAGGGACCTGATGACTCATTATCTCTGAACTCATCCCCAACCACTATTCCTCTGGCTTTCTCCACATTCATGCCTCCTCCTTGATGTTTCTTGAACATACGGGCCATAGTCATGCTCAGAGCCTTTGCATTTGCTGATCCCTCTGCCTGATATGGTCTTTCCACTCATCTTCATGATTCACATCCTCTCTTCTTCATTGTTTTTGTTCAAATATCAATCACTCTGTGAGGACTTCCCTATCTACCCCCACCTAAAACTGCAGTTTTCCACAATTCATTTCCCCCAAAACATCCCTATTGCATTCTTCCACTATGTGTTTCTCTATAGAATTTGAACTATCTGGTTAATATATGTTCCACAGATTTTCAATCTCTTCCAGTAGAATGTAAACACCAAAGAGGCAGGAATTTTAAACTGTTTTGTTTAGTGCTGTGTCTCTAAAGTCATGACAGGCACATATTGAGCAATCACTAAATAATTGTTAAATTAATGAATAGTAAATGACTCTAAATACTAATATCAGACTATTGATATAAGACTTTCCACTTCTTAAACCTTCAAAATTAGAAAGGGCTTTATTTTTACTCTAAAGTCTATTCTATCCATCTAAATATAATTAAAGCCTGTTACTTTATTACTGACTCCCCCCCTTTGCTATGTTTAATTTATCATTGAAGATCATTATTACTATTTCTGTAAAGTTTAAAGTTTAATTTAAATTCAAGTTTCCTTATTCACTTTAATAGATAACAAAATTATGTACTGAAAAATATTATATAATGATTGATAAAGCAAGGCTTCTAATTTCCAATGCAATTTTCTCTCTCTAGGATATTTTCCTTCAATTAAAAAAATTTTTTGAATTAATACATAAAACATGAAAATTGTACATATTAATGAAGGACCTTATGCTTTCCTTTATTTATTTATTTATTTATTTATTTATTTATTTATTTATTTATTTATTTATGGTACTGGAGATAGAACTCAGGAGCACTTATACTGAGCCATATCCCCAGCCCTTTTTATATTTTATTTAGAGACAGGGTCTTACTGAGTTGCTTAAGGCCTCGCTAAATTGCTGAGGCTGGCTTTGAACTCACAATCCTCCTATCTCAGCCTCATGAGCCACTGGGATTACAGGCAGGAGCCATCACCATACCTGGCTTCTTCCTTTAGTTTCTTATTTTAAATTATTGTTGTTTAAACTCATACAGGAATTAGAATCAGAGGGTCTTTAATTCTGTATGTCATGAAGCACAATCCATTGGTAAGATATTTCAGTTTTGTTCAAGTTGCCAAACTATATCCTACTTGCTCCCCAAACCTATTTCTTTCTGGTTCTTCCTGATTATCCTAAGACAACAAACAGTATATACACAGGTAAAAGTCAATTTAAACAAATTTTCAAATACACTTACAAGAAGCAAAACACATTAATGTCTCTCACTAACTAGAGCTATTAAAGATAACTATTGTCTCAAAATCTGCTTCACATAATTGTAAACTCTGCTATGTATAAGAAGTGCTATTGAGCAGGACAGTTTGTGCTTTGCTTCTAAGTACTGGGTGGGTCCAGTCACATGAATTTATTTCCATCTATTAACTTCTACTCTTTTTAAATCTTTATATGTTGGGTGTTTCTCTTATAAACAGCATATATCTTTGTTTTGCCATTTTAAAAAAAAATTGTTAACTTTTTTCTTTAACTAGATGATTTTGTACATTTAAAGTGGTTTATTAATACTCTGATCCTGGCCTTTTATATTTCTTTTTGTTTGTTTTCTTTCTTTCTTTCTTAAGTGTTCTTTTTGACTATTTCTTCATACATTCTTTCCTCTACTTCCCATCATACTTATTTTGAAGTTACAGGTTCTATTCTATTAATGGCTACTCCAGTTAGTTTGAAATACATATTAAATTTGACAAAGTCTAAAGTTAATTATCTTCTTCCTCCTCTTAAAACTATAAGAACCTTAAAATAACCTGAACTCTGATCACTTCCTCCAAACTTATATACTGCTGTCACACAAACTTTTAGTTTTATCCTATTTGCCCTTTTCAAAAAATCAGATATTTCTCTTATACAGTCAAGTTTGCTTAGGATTTACTTACATAATTATCATTATACTAATTTTTCCATCTTGCATCTCAGACTTTCCCCATGACAATCACTTTCCTTCTTCCTGAAATTTAGCCTTGGTATGTGCTTCAAAAAGGAACTGTATCTTTTTAACTCTGTTTTTGTTATTTATCTGGAAATGTCTTTATTTTGTTCTCTTTCTTGAAAGACAGATTCACTTTGTATAGAATTCTAGAGTTAAGGTTATTTTCCTTGGTGCCCTTAAGACAATACACCCTTTTCCCCATTGTTGCTCTTCAAATTTTATCATTCTGAAAGTTATTTAATAAATTAATATTCTCATTTTCCTCCTTTACTAAGTTGTTTAAAGGAGGTCAGTAGGAAAAAAACAACAAAAATTTCATGTTTCTTAATAAGTATTGAAATATGAGATTTCTTTTTGAAAGCAATAATGTAGAAATAGCACTAAAACTAGAAAGTAGACAGAAACAGGAAATTCTCCCTTAAAGACAGACTGATAAACACTTAATAATAAAGGATCTGAAACTTATCAAGTGGGAAGAAAGTACTTGCAACCCTGTCAAATATTGCTCCTGTCCTTCCATGATGAATATTTTTCTTTGTAGATCTTGACAAACTCCCTCCCTTGTCAGCATCTCTATCTAAAGTTGACAGACCAAAGATTTATTTTCAAACATGGATCACAATGGAATATAAAGTTGATTTGATTTCTGCTACGTTACTGCCACAAAAATATTTCTAAAATTATTTTCTCAGGCATAATTAGTGTGTTCACTGATTAACAAATAAAATTATCAGCCAAAAAATTTAGACTCTTATCCTAAGTATTTTTGGAGATGTTTTGCCTAATTTGTCTATATTTATGATCTCTTTTCCACATTTTATGTCATACTAAAGTTTGAAAGAATAGCTTCTAGACTTTTCTCCTAACTTCATTGAGTTACAATTGACAGTTTAAAATTATAGCATTGTAAACCAGGCACTGTGGAGCACATCTGTAATCCCACTGGCTTGGGAGGCTGAGGCAGGAGGATTGCAAGTTCAAAGCCAGTCTCAGCAAAAGCGAGGCACTGAGCACTTCAGCAAGACCCTGTCTCTAAGTAAAATATTTTTTTAAAAAAGGGTTAAGGCTGTGGCTTAGTGGTTGAGTGCCCCTGAGTTCAATCTCCAGTACACACACACACACACACACACACACACACACACACATTATAGCACTGTAATATCTAAGTTGCAAACTTGATACTTTGGCTTGTCTTTTTGTTTGTTTGAGACAGGGTCTCAATAAATTGCTTAGGGCCTCGATAAATTGCTGAGGTTGGCCTTGAACTTGTGATCCTCCTGCCTCAGTCTCCTAAGTGACTGGGATTATAGATGTATGACACCATGCCCATCTGATAAGTTGATTCTGATACACGTATATACATTGTGAAATATTCACCACAATCAAACTAATTAACATATATTACCTCACATAATTAAATTTGTTAAAAAGTTTCTAAACTTTCACGCCCTATAGAATAGGATAAGTGTTTTAGTTTACACTGATACAACTCTGGCCATAGAAATATAAATAATAATCAGTCTAATCATACATAGTGGCATAATGCCTTTGAACTTCTTACATATTTAGAGATATTTAGAAAACCAATGACTACTAGTGAATGTTTTCCTTCAAACATTAGATCTGTCTCATGAACAATTCAAGCATAACTATAAATAAAAAAATATGTCTGGATGTCAAGCATCAAGCAATGAACTATTTATCTTAACAACAACATAATTCACTTTCAGGAGCTAAAACCATTTCAAAGAGTCATATCTGTTCTTCTCTTTGCTATATATTTATAATAACCAACTTAGAAGTTTTCAAGTCCTATGAGAAGTCAAAAGAAAAGAACATTTGAGAAAAAGATTTTGAAGACTCTTTTAACTAAATAGTAGCCTAGAAAAACTGACATGAAAAATAACTCAAGTTTTAGGCTCCTTCTTTTTAGGAACATTAGATATGCTGTGCTTTATTAAAGTAACTTGTCATAACTGATTTGTGCCCATGTTACAACTCTTCTAAAATTACTTTTAAAAGAGTCTAACATGAGAGTTTTCCTATAGAAGTAATTCAAATTACTTGTATAGAAAGTGTCAATAGGGCTGGGGATGTAGGTCAGTGGTACAGAGCTTGCCTACCATGTAGAAGGCCTTAGAGTTTAGCCCCCAACACTGCAAGGAAAGGGAGGAGAGGGAACAGAAATGGAGGAAAGGGACAAAGATAGATGGAAGGAAGGAAAAGGGGAGGTGCCAAAAGGGGAGGGAAAAGAATGAGTCATTAAAACAAAACAACAAGTGGTATAAATATAAATATGTGGCATAAAAGTTCTAAAAAAATTCTACTAAGCTTTAGAATTTTAGTTACATCAAACTGGATATTATGACTGTATAGAATAACTAGTGCATAAAAAGTTCCACGGTGGCCTGGCTGAAACCAAACCCAGGGGTGGATGGCATGGAGAGAATGCATAGTGGGCTCAAGTGGGACCAGATTGAGCTTGTGCTGCTTCAGGACACACAGCATAGAGAAGGGGCAGAGACTCCCCAAAAGGGGGGCAGTGTGAGCCCATGAGGCCTGTGGGAGCTGGTGAAGATGGTTCCCCCCCCAACCGCCCCCAGCCAGTCTGCAGTGGTTGCTCTGTTGCCTGGTGCAGGTTCCAGTTCCAGACCAAACACAGACCAAACCACAGCCTGTGTGGGTATGGCTGGGCAAGCTGTGGTTGCGGTGGCAATAGCCAAAGAAGTCTTGGAGGAGCCACGGGGTGCCCTTCAGCCATACTAAGGGGTGGTCCTGGAAGAAGTATGCAGGGTTGTGGCAACATTGTCTGAAGACATGAAACCAGGCCCTAATCCTTATGGCATTCTTTGGGAGTTGGTGATATGTACAGCTATTGGATTTTTTGCTGTTCTCTCATTTTTGTGGAGATGTTTTCAATCTGTGAAAAGCAGGCTATATGTGGGAAGAGAAAGAAAGCTTGCTCTAAAACTTTCTGGACTAATTGAAGAAAAATGTGAACTACTTGAAAAAGTTAGCCTTGTTCAAAAAGAGCATGAAGGCTTACAGTCATCTTTAAAGGATGGTGGTTTTGAGAAGGGTTCAACAGAAGCACAAAATTTGGAGGCAACATATGAATAGCTAGATAAGTCCAAATCTAAATGTGGGAATGAATTACTCTTTCTAGAAAAAGAGCTAAAAGAACAGAAAGTTAAACATTCTAAACAGGATGAAACAATGGCGGATATATTAAAAAGGATAAAATCCCTAGAAGACAAATCAAAATCCCTCAAATCACAAATAGATGAAGCTAAAACAACCCTCAGAATATTTCAAGTGAATGAAGAAGGACTTATGCTGGCAATAAAAGAGGCTTTGAATGAAAATTCCCAACTTCAGCAGAGTCAGAAACAGACTTTAAAACAAGAAGCTAAAGTATGGAAGGAACAAGTATGTGTCCACAATAAAGAGAAAATACCATTTGAAGACTTTAAAGTACATGCAGAAAAAGTTCTAAATGATAAAGAAAATCACATCGAATCTCTGACTGAATGCTTGCTGAAGATCAAAGATAGGTCTTCTCCAAGCACAGGAGCCCAAACAGATGATGGTAACTTGGAATTGGAAATGAAGAGCGAATCAGAAATTGGTGCTCACTTAGATAATCAACCAAAAGGAGCTTTGAAGAAACTGGTTAATGGTGCTAAACTAAAGGCCCCTTTAAAAATCTTAGAAAGAGAAAGAAGTCAAATTTTTACTTTATAATCTGAAGTAGAGAAAACAAAGGAAGACCTTATAGAACATACTAAAAATCTAAAGACTGAACAAGCATCTTTGCAGTCAGAAAATACACAGCTTGAAAGTAAGAATCAGAAGCTTCAGCAGAAATATAAAGCCATGATGGAATGATATCAAGAAAGTATAATGAAACTCCACAGGAAATTAAGTGCAGAGGAAAATTACCAGGTAGAGCAAGAGGAAAAACTTCCCAAAGTGGAAGAAATGATCAGTCATACAACTGAACAGCTGGAGACCTACAGAAAGCAAGCCAAATATCTTGAAGAAGAATTGGAGATAACTATTCATTTCTCTCAGGGGCAGATTATTTCCTCTGAGAAAAAAAGCACATAATAGTGAGTTGGCAGCTTGGATTACTGAAAGAAACCTCAATTATTTAAGGAAACAAAATGCTCGCAACACACAAAAATTAACTGAAAAGGAGTTTAAATTTAAACTTTTAGAAAAAGATCCATTTGCACTTTATGCTTCAAATACAGCATTTGGCAGAAAGCATTCCCCAAATTGTCCCTCGCCTTTGGGCCGACCTTCATCTGAAATGAGACCTCCTCATTTGGAAAAGAAAGGTCCACTCACACTCTCACCTTTGGGAGGAGGAAGAGGCTCAAGGGGCCCAGAGAATCCTCTGGACCATCTGACTAGCAATGAAAGAAGAGACTCACACTATGATAGGTTAACTGATCCTCAGAAAGCATCTTCTGACATCGAGTCCCTGTTATCTCCATGGGAACAGGCACATAGGATAATGATCCCTCCACCAGGCCAACCATATTCTGATCCACGTCTTTCTCTACAAAGGCAAGATGGATGTTATTCTAATTATGATAGACCACCAGGTCCAGCAGAACTCAGAAGTTCTAATATGCATTCTTCAGATAAAGTGAATGGGCCTATGTCTTTAGAAACAGAATCCAGTAGAAAGGATACCAAAGTCGATCTTGGTGATTCCAGTGTGCCTGATTCATCTCTCCCTGCTGAAAACCAAGCAATCGGTTCTGCCTCTGTTTTTGCACCTTTTTCTCTAATCAGAGGTCCCTTGTTTCCAGTGGATCCAAGTAGTCAGTTCATGAGAAGAGAACCTTTTTCCCTCCATGTCCTCCAGGAAACGTGTATGGAGCATTTCAAGATTATATTCCACCAGGCCCACCATCCCCTCCATTCCCAATGGGACCCCAGTGTTTTCCTCAGTATCTCCCCCAAGAGCTGGATTTCTCCCCCTCCCCAGACTCACCACCCCTTCCATTCCCAATGGGACCACAGTGTTTTCCTCAATATCTCCCCTCAAGAACTGAATTTCGGGGCTGGGGATATGGCTCAAGCAGTAGCGCGCTCGCCTGGCATGCGTGCAGCCCGGGTTCGATCCTCAGCACCACATACAAACAAAGATGTTGTGTCTGCCGAAAACTAAAAAATAAATATTTAAAAAAAAAAAAAAAAAACTGAATTTCCACCCCTCCTTCCCCCGCATTCTGAAAGTAGAAGTGAGTTCCCTTCATGTTTGATTCTACCTTCAAATGAGCCTGCTACTGAACATCCAGAAACATAATAAGGAACCTGACAATAGTTTTGATCTCTCGTCAAAAGTTATTTGATTTAGCTCTTATTTTTAGTTTAAGTATCTGCTATTACTTCAGTGATTTTACTTTTGTTCCAATTTAAGCTTAATGGAATTATAATTCTTAGAATAGTATTTTGTAAATAAAGATTTAAATATGAATCTTATGAGTAAATTACTTCCATTTTATTTTATTCTGGATGGTATAACTTAATTTGATTAATCCACTATTACATAAACAACAATGGGAGTTTTATATTTGTAATCTTGCAGGTGGGAATTTTTTTTAACATTTTTTAGGTGTAGATGGACACAACACAATGCCTTTATTTTTATGTGGTGCTGAGGATCAAACCCGGGTCCTACTTGTGCTAGGGGAGCGCTCTACCGCTGAGCCACAATCCCAGCCCAGTTGGGGATATTTTAAACTCCAAACAAAGGCTATGCCTTTATGCCAAGAAATGTATTTACTATGATTGCTGCAAATGTGAAAGTAACACTATGCTTAATGAAATATTTTAATTGATTTAAAGTCTTGTTTGGCATTAAAATAAAAATCAGCTAGTTTTTCCATAAAAAATAACTTGAACTTATTAAGAATAAACAAGAAAACATGACTGAATATATCATGTAAACAGGAGGTTTCAAATACAAAAAAAATTCCAGTTCTCAAAAAATTTTTAGGAATTGGAAACTACAATTTAAGCTCACTTTATCCCAATTTTCCATTATATCTTCTTTATTTTATGTTCATTTTCATAAAATAAAGAATTGCATTCGGCTGTGGTTCACTGATATTTTGAGTGTCCTAGTCTTTGTTTGGCTTTCAAGGAGACTTTTGTAAAATATAAATGAATTATTAGAACACTGAAATGAAAAAAAACCAAAGATATAATTCCATATTTTGTTATTGTTAGATTCGATAGTCATGACTCTGCCAAACTACTATAAAATTTTAAAAACTCTTACTCTCAATTTCTATATCAATGCAAACAAGTAACAATTTGCAAAACTGCACCAGTCCAGAGACTATTGGACTATGTTTTGACTATTGGACTAACACTTTGAACTATGTTTTCCCCATAGAGATCAAGAAAGAACATTTATTAAAGATACTTTAATTAAGAATTAGTGGTTAAAGCTTTATTCAAGTGTTAAATATTCTCTTAACTTTTTTTTGTGAAGAGTATAATTGGGGGCTGGGGATGTGGCTCAAGTGGTAGCACGCTCGCCTGGCATGCGTGGGGCCCGGGTTCGATTTTCAGCACCACATACAAACAAAGATGTTGTGTCCACCAAAAACTGAAAAATAAATACTGAAATATTCTCTCTCTCTCTCTCTCTCTCTCTCTCTCTCTCTCTCTCTCTCTTTAAAAAAAAAAAAGAGTATACATTGAAGTCTAAAATAAATGCCGTAATATGACTTTCTTCTTAAAAATAAGAAGCAGCTTTATCACATTTGAGGGCCAGTGAAAAGTCTGAATGATATTTGAGCATACAATTAACTTAAATGAGAAAACAGTTGGGCCTTGAAAAAAGAAACTCTACAAGTTTAATAAATCTAATCTTTCTGTTTTCCCTCAAGAGTTACACTAGTTGTTAAATAAATCCTATAAATAATTCTTACTTGACAGCATAAAACAATATGTGCTCTAAATGAGTAGACAGAAGTCTACAGCCATGGTCTCTATAAAATGATCACTCATTTTTAATTCAGAACTACTTTTACCTTAACTTCTACTGGATAATAGTTGCTGATATAGTTCATGTTTTACAACAAGAAACTGGAAATAAGATAATTTCAGATTGAAAACAGAACTGAAATGCCTAAATATCATGATACAGTCTTGTAAAAAGTTTTTGCTTCAAAAGAATAAAAAGCTGAAAGGTCCTTCTAAATATGACACCATTTATCAAATCAGCTTCCAACTTTGATTATAACTCTATAAACCACAGTTAAATAAAATAAAACAATATTAAAAATTGGCAATTTATAGAATAAGCCTTAAGGAAATATTAAGTCCAAAAATGAAATTAGTATATACAATACATATTTATGTACACATTACCTAAATAATAGGGCTACCTGTTATTATAAAAATCAAAATTCTCACAACCAAAGAAGAATCTTTCTTCCAATATTTGAGCCATCATAATTAAAGGAATAGTCTTTCCCACATGACTTATGAGGACAAATAGAGCATCAATGAATGAAACAAGTATCTGATTAAGTTTTAGTAAGCACTAACAATAACCTAAAAAGAAAAAGACTATATCTCCATTATCAAAAAAATACAAGCCAAAAATAGATAACCAACAATAATTAGACCTAAATTATTTTCTAATGTTCTATTCATTACCAGGATTCTTTCATTCTATAGTGGTCATAAAAAAGGCCTGAAATACTTCTTAGCACTTGCCTACCATCTGTTCTTCTACAATAGAGAATATAGGTGCAATAGAATTTTGCTGAGATGCATTAAATTCACATATTGAGGGATATCAATATTCCTCCAATATTCTATGAACCTGAAGGCATTGATATTGGGTAAAAGAATTGTGTTTAAAAACAAATTTGAGATAAACTGTAAAGTAATAGAATGTGATATCATTAATAAAATTATTTTTAATAATTATTAAGACCACAGTTTTATGCTCATTATTTAAAAAAAAAAAGAAAATGTTAGAAAAAATTGTGGAGATGAAGGTTTCTCTAGCTTTCATACAATTTTTAATAGTAATCTGTCAACTGGACAGGCCTTAATACTTTTCCATTATAAAGAAGTTATACTTAACCTCACTAGTTAAAATTAAAATAAGATAGAATTTTTCATCCTCAAGAATATAGAAAATGTAAAAGTGTTAAACAAGAATATTAAATAGTGCTAGCATGTGGGGAGCATAAATTAGCATTGCCACTTGGAAAAGTTGGCTGTGTCTAACAAAATATGACGTAGCCTATGATCCAGAATAATCCACTTGTAGGCACATAACCCAGAGTAGGCTAAGATATACAATATAAAATATATTTTTTATTAAACTTTTTGATTGAGTTCTACAGTAGCAGATTTATTTAATATTTACAACTCAAACCCAACAATATATATTTCATGGAAAAATAAATACCATTTACTCTGACACTTTTTACTACGTTGTTCTGTTCTCTTTTAAAATGCAGATTCCAAACTACTCAACTGATTTTTTAATGCTGTTTGGAAAACACTGCCCGGAAAAACTAGTGATACATACATAACAACATCTATAAGTCTGTTCATTGTGGCATTGCTTAAAATAGAGAAAATAACTGAATATAACTTTAATGTCCATTAATAGGCAAAAAACTAAAATATGAAATACAATGCAGTTATCAGTTTAAATTAGATCTAGGTAACATGAATGCATCTCTATGTAATATGCATAATTCATAAAAATACAACGTATAGTGAAAAAAGCAGAATGATATTTTCAGAATATCATTAATTTCCAGCAATATCATGTTTATAAATATATAAAAATACTAAAATTGTTTAGAAGTATATATTTTAATATATTAACTCACAGTAGGGTGGAGGTACTAGCAGATAAAGAGGACTTTAGCTATATATGTTTTAATTTTTAAAGAGTTTTTAAATGTTACTTGAAAAAAAATTTCAGAGTTTCAGTAAGTTTTGTGGTATAAATTGATAAAATGAGAACAGAGGTGAGGAAGAATTAAGGACAGTTCAGTAGAACCAGGTATAATATCCACACACATGAATCAATAAGAGAAAAAAAGAAACTTAAAAAACATTCATAAGGACTAAGGAAAGATTAGGATTAAAGAAGTATGTAGCAACAGCTGGAGAAAAAAGCATGAAGTGGGCAGAAAAGGAGGAAGAAAAGGCCTAACAATTGGTAAACTGATCCATCCCTCATTGGTGGTTCAACTGTATAAATAAAAGAGTGGCAGCTTAGTGGGAAAGTACTTAGCAACTCTGTTTACACAGACAACAGAAAGTGCCACTGGAGTGGCAAATTGAACCCAACAAGGCCAATTAACCCTTTCACCTTAGTGTTTTACACTACCTATCCTTCTTACTATGCCTCTGTTGATCTACACAGATATGTGTTAGGACCAAATGCAATGATAAATCATTGTTACATGTATTGATGAATTCTGCCAATTCCACAAAGCACAGCATTTTATTTAGTGTTCTGAATACCTTCTTTTCTACTCTCATCTGTTTTTAATTAAGAAACACTTTCAAAGGAAGATAAGTTATCCCTAAACTTAACCTACACATGTCCTTTATTAAACTACTCAAGTTTTTTGACTTAAAGTATTTTTAAAATGTAATACTCACCTCAAATTTCTTCTAGATAAATTAGGGAAATATTAGAGAAAGATTTAGATGGGCAAAAATGTAATAAAGAAACACTAAAATTCACTGAAGAGGTCTGTAACAACCTTATAGCTGCTGAATGAGCAATATTTCTATGACTACAATTTATTACTTAAAGAGAAACTTTACATCTTAAAGGGCTATATTTTTTAAGATAGTGATAGGTTTACTGCTGACTCATTTTTCTGCTTCTCAAATACAGTCATGTCTTTTTAAAATCATGTATATTTGAGAGCAAGGATCATATTCTCAACATATTCTATAAAATCTAGAAAACTGTCATGTACCAACTAGGTGTACAAATATTTGGTAAAAGTATGTTGTGCACTGTTGACATGTGAAAGTCTTGTTTCTATGAAGTAAGGTAAATAACAAAAGTACATAATTGTTTAGTTGCAAACTAAGGCAATTCACATAAATGTTTATTCATTAATCCTAACACTGTCTTTTCCTCACTATCCACGCTCCCAAAGGTACCAACATCATCCTGCCATCAGCTGAAATTCCATGTCAAATTTTCTCCTGGCCATATTATTTATTACTGAATCTTATTAGTAATTATATTTCTAAATGCTAGTCAAATAATGGGAAAATCCCAACAGATTATTT